CACGGGAGCTGTGGGTGTCTCTTCCCATCCCAGCTGCCGTGGGAATTCAGAGGTGCTGTCTGAGCCCTGATTATACATATATATAAAAATTATATATATACATATATATAAAATATATATATATAATATATATTATATACAAATTATATAATTATATATGTTATATAATTTTTATATATAAATTATATATATAATTTATATATTTATATATATTTATATAAATTATGTATAAATTATATATATTATATATACATAAATTATATATATAAAATTATATATAAATTATATATAAAAATATATAAATTATATATAAATTATATATAAAAATATATAAATTATATATATTATATATCTATGATTTTATATATATATGTTGATATATAATGTTTATATATAATATATATAAATAATATCTATTTGTGTATATAAATATATATTTATATATAATATATATTTATATATTTTTATATATATATATATATATTGAGAAGCTGTTGCAAACTTTTCAGAATGAATTATTTAAATGCCGTTCACCCAGCTCTGCCTGCCCTGGCCCTGCCATTTCCTTCCCCTGGCAGTGGAGCAGTGCCCTGGTGCCACGGGAATTGTGAGGAGGAGGAGGAAGGCACTGCCCCCCGAGCCCCCCACTCCAGAGGTGTCCAGGACTGGCCAACCCCTCGTCCTGAGCATGGCCTGAGCCCACAGCAGCATCTCCTTGGCCACATTTGGTACCCAGAGTGATTTAGGACCTGCTTTAAATGGGATCATAATATTCTTACTCATCACTGTTAATAATGATGTTACCGCTTCTTAATGATGCACAAAACTGTCAGGATATGAGGGGTATAAAACTATTTTACATCAAATTTAACTGTCAAAGAAATGCCAGAAGTGTTGGCGAGGAGCACATCTCCCCTGCCGTGAGGTATCGCTGCTGTGCTACTCCGGCTTTTCATTTTTCCTTCACTTAATTGTTGATTTCTGCTTGAAAAGCCAGGAAGTTTCTTAAGGTCAAGCAGAAGCATTTTGGTTTTTTTAAATGAATAGATAAAATTATTCCCATTAATGAAATTTTGAGGTCTGCACGCTGAGATAATAACATGAGGTAATCAAATCTCATGCTTCAGGGCATAAACTGATTAACTGCGAGGGCCAGGAACGACTTCTCCTGTTCCTTAAAGAAGCGAAGGGCGGCCTGATAAACAGCAGAGGGTGTTCATTAGAGATGCTGTGCTGGCTGCTGGGACACGGAGCAGTGTGACATGGTTCTGGGGCTCCTCCCGGTGAGGGGACACCTGGGACAGCCCTGGGCTCATCCTGCTGCTCTCGGGGGGCTCCTGGGCTGTTTCTGCTGGCCCTGGGCAGGGAGGGGAGCTCAGCAGGGAGGAGCATCCCAGCCCCTGCCCTGCTGCTGCCATGGGTGCCCGCTCTGTGCTGGGCTGTCCCCCCTTCCCTGGGCACTGCAAACACCTTCCCACCATCATTCTGGAGCTCGGGGGTGTGATGGGGGCAGGAGGAGCTCAGGGGTGTGGAGAGGCGCTGGCTGAGCTGGGCACCGGGAGCATCCCAGCGCTGGGGGACAGGAGATGGCACAGGGAGCCCAGAACAGCAGCCCTGGGTGGGCTCCGGGGTCCCTTCCACCCCAAACCTCTCAGAGCCGGTGGTTCTGTGTCAGCATCCCTGGTGAGCCCGCTCGTGCCCTGCTCAGGGGTGAAGCCATTCCCTCCCCAGAGGAGCAGGGCCCGGGGCTGTGCGCAGCTCTGGGCTCCTCTCACACCTCTCCCTGGCTCACACGCTGCTGTCAGCGCTGTCACGTCGGATAAACGAGCTCGTTTATAAATGCAGAGTTGGGTTTTGGCTACGAGTTCCAATGTGTGGAGCTGGGAATTGGGCAGTGCTTCGGGAGGGCAGCAATAGCTGGCAGATTTTGGGGCATTAATTCGCTTTTCAAAACTCCCTCATCCCCAACCTCACCAGAAACTCCTTACTGGTGAGCTGGGAACTCACAATTGCTTTTACTCTTCTTACTCTGAAAGCATCTTCTGACACCCTGTGGTGCTGCACACGCAGCTGGAGTTCTCTCCCCCTCCTCCTCCTCACTGTGGGATGAGGGGGTGAGGCTGAGCCCCCCGTGATCCTCACAACAGAGCTGCTGTGGGACCTGCTGGGATTTCAGGCTGTTCCCAGCGTGGCAGGACCCTCTGTGCCTGGTCCCTGGGCTGTGTGCACACCTGGGGAGGGGGCTCTGCTCTGGGCTCCCTTGCACACAGATTTTCCCCAGGTTATGGCTCGGCTCCATCCTGACCCATCAGACCTCCCATCTCTGCTATCTCTGCTCCGCCTGGGGGAAGATAAGATCCTTCTCCTGGCAGACAGACCCTTTTGGACTTAATCTGGGTGAAGAGACTCAGCTCAGCCTGGCTGTATTTAATTTGTCCAAGCTGCAATCCAATTAGAAGCAGCTGAGTCACCTCAGGCTTGCTCTTCCCGCTCTGCTCCTGCTTCCCGGAGGAGCTGCTGGCCCCAGAGCCGGGGCACCGCTGCCCAGGGACAGCTGCTGGTGCCCTGTGGCCATCCCCCAGCCCCAGGGGAGCCGGCTGCTGGATGTGGTGCCTTTGGGTTCCTGCCCCCAGCCCACCGCCACCACCTCGCCCGTCCCGCTCCTCCAGGAGAGCTCCATCCCCAGGCCCCCACAAATCTGCAGTTCTGCTTCCCTAGGGGCAAGAGGAAACAAATCAGCTTTAGACTGCTTAAAACCGAGAGCAAACAACAAATCAGCCTGTCAGAAAGTAAAAATAATCTCCTGAGTCGACCCTGCAGCCTCCCCCATCCACGAGAGCGGCGTTTGCTCAGCGTTAATTATGTCGTTCCTCATGTAATGCCCATGTCTGCACAGATCCAGTTTAATTCTGCTTTTAATCACTATTTTCACACTTACTCTTGGCACACAGGGAAGTTGTCAGTTGTTGGGTATTTTTATAGCTGGAATACTGAATTTAATCCTTTTTCTCTTCCCCAGTAAGAGATGCTAAAAACCTAGTTCCTATGGACCCTAATGGCTTGTCAGATCCCTACGTGAAGCTTAAACTAATCCCCGACCCCAAAAACGAAAGCAAACAGAAGACCAAAACTATCAAGTGCTCCCTGAATCCTGAGTGGAATGAGACATTTAAATTGTAAGTACAAGGAAAATGTTTAAATTCGTTAAGTGAATTTTCTCACCGCCAAGAATTAATGTGACTTTATTTGCTCTGATTTAATTATTCAGAGGCTTTGAGCTGATCCAACTGAGCGATGATTCTTTTTGTTCTGTAAGTGACACGGAAGCACTCAAACCTCTGCCCTGACCCCGCTCTGAGCAGTGTGTCAGGGCAGGAGCTCCGTGCTCTCCGTGTGAATCTGATGTGCCTTGGAAATTAAATCTTGGAGACCTCAGCAGCCCTTGAGGACCATTCTTTGTTCTGCATCCGTGTCCCAGTGGGCACGGTGGTGTGGGAACAGGATAAAACCATCCCTCCTCCCTTCCTCTCTTCCAGCCAGCTGAAGGAGGCGGACAAGGACAGGCGGTTGTCTGTGGAGATCTGGGACTGGGATCTGACCAGCAGGAATGATTTCATGGGCTCCCTGTCCTTCGGGATCTCTGAGCTGCAGAAGTCGGGAGTGGATGGATGGTGAGATGTGGCTGTTGTGTCAGGTGTTTGTGGCTGGGGTGTGACAGCCCCTCAGAGCCCGCCCTGTGTGAGCTCCTCCATGGGCTGGGGGGCTCGGGGGCTCAGGTTCCTCCCTGGGGCACGCCCGGGTACCCAGGGCAGCTCTGCCCCAAGGGCTGCTGCCCCTGGGGGCTTGGGCAGGAGCTGGCACCTGATGGGCACTTCCAGCATCTCCAGCTTGGATCAGACACCTCCCCGCTCCTGGGGGACAGCAGGGTTTTGAGAGACCACCAGTTTATTCACCACCCTTCACAGAAGTAAAAGTGAACACAGTTTATTTCTATATTTAACACACCTTTTATAGGGTTCTACAGGGTCTGCAGGCAGAGCAAGCTACTATTGGCTAACACACACAGTTTACATTTTTTCTCCTACACACAAGGATATTGTTTTGCTTTACTCTCTCTTCTGCACAAAGGTTTCAAGGACTTTAGCCTTTAATATCACGACTTATTTCAAAGACTGGTTTGTGCATACAGGCCTTTACTAATATATAAAATATATCAACAGCAGGGCTGTGAGGGGTGCTGGGGGTCCCCTCTGAGCTGTCCCTGAGGGCTGTGGGGGGCTCAGACGTGGGGGAAGCACAGCGTGTGTAATTACAGGCGCTCGTTAGCAGCGAGCTGTGAGCGCTGTGGCTCTGCAGCACCCCCGGATGGGTCTCTCTGTTTCCATCTCCCCCAGCAGGACACAAGGTGCTTTATTTCCCCGCTTTTCCCCCAGGCACCGGTGCCTGAGAGCTCTGTTACCTGTCCATGGCGAGTGTAAGCACCCAAAGGGGATGTTAAATGTCTTTTGGAAACCAAACCCTGCACGTAATTAAGCTGAGTGAATACCCCAGGCTGGTTTTCCCACGGTGGAAGATGAAGACGTCTCCCTGAGAGCAGAGAATGGAGAGGAGGAGGAGGAGGGATGAGCTGGGCTGGGTGCCCACACCGTGCCACTCCTGGGCAGAGCTGTGGGTGCTCCCGCTGCTCTCCAGCCCCGTCTGTCCCCCTGAGCTGGGCAGAGGCTGGCACAGTGGCACCGTGGCCTGGTGGGGACTGGGCTGCTGCTCTGGAAAACAGCAGGAAGCTGTCCCTTGTCCCAAATTCCCAGTCACCTGTGAGGGTGCGTGTGCCACGCACTGCCAGCTCCTTCGCTCAGAGCACTTCCCAGCCTTTTAAAAATCATCTAAGTGGAGATCTAAGTAATTTTCCTTGTCACAGTGCTGGCTGGAGCAAGCTGAAGGAGAAGGAGCTCTGATCCATATTTCATACCTAAACAAGTGCAGTTAATGGAGAAAAGAAGCTGGAAGGCAGAGGCTGTGCTGTGCAGACAGGGCTTTGCTCCTGGAGCAGCCTCTGGGGTAACACCCAGCCCAGATCCATCCTCCTGCAGAGCAGGGTGAAACTCCTGGGGTCTCAGTGGCATTTCCATCATTTCTGATCCTTGCTGCTCCTTCGGAGGAGCCTCCTGTCTGTGCTCGGGGGTGCCAGCCCGGCGGGGGCACCTGCCAAGGGCTGTCCTCGTGGGGCAGCCGATGAAGGGGGTTTGCCCAGCCTGTGCCCGTGGCTGTCACGGGGAACACGAGTTTGTCTGTGGGTTTGGGGTCAGGATTGGTTTGGGAGCCACAGCGGTGCTCTGTGTGCCCACCACGGGCTGTGGGGGTCCCCAGGACAGCGAGGGACCCAGAAACGTCCCTGCAGCCACTGAGGGCCTGGGGCTCACTGAGGGGGAAGGTTTGGGGGTTCTCCTGACCTGGGGAAGGGTCCCCTGGGTGCTGGGGCAGCAGAGGCAGAGCTGTGCTGGAGCAGAGCTGAGCTCCTGCATACCTACAGCCTCTGGGCTGGGTATCTATCTGACCCACGTTTCTCTGTCCCTCTCTGTCCCTCTCTGTCCCTCTCTGTCCCTCCAGGTTCAAGCTGCTCAGCCAGGAGGAGGGCGAGTATTTCAATGTCCCGGTGCCTCCTGAGGGAGAAGAAGGGAACGAGGAACTGAGGCAGAAATTTGAGGTGAATTGATTTTTCTTGGACTCAGGGGTTTTCCTCACTGCCTGCCTGCCGTGCCCTCGGTGAGGGACTTTCCCTGCCAGCTCTTCCCCTGGCAGTGCAGGGAACGTGGAGCGGGCTCCAGCTCCCCAGAGAGGCTCCAAGGAGAAATGTCTATTTACTACTTAATAAGCCATGGAGGTTCGTGCTGAACGATTGATCCAGACATTGCTGAATTAGCAGGAATTTGCCATTTTTCAGTGCAGCTGAAGCCTCCACAGAGCTCTGGGAATGAGTGTGGTACATCTGGAGGCTCACGTGCAATGAGCCATACAGAAATAAGAGAGTTGCCCTTATGGTTCTCAGCATGAACTCCATAATTGTAGCAGAGACTGGAGACTTTGTTCTCCCTTCTTTTTTACCTTATTTATACACAGCTTTCCTGAATGTCCAGGGAAAGACAGTTCTAATACAATGCTTGGCTCCAGCCAGTGGTTTCTGGCTGTTCAAAGAGCAGAACCAGGCTTTTGTTGTATTTCCTGGTGTAGCAGCGGTGTTAGAATGGTGTGGGCAGTCAGATGATGTGTAGTGTACAGACCAGAACGCACACAGTGCAGGCTGCCAGAGCTGTCCCCTCGCCTTGTGTTCCCCACCCCTGCCATGGAGGGATCAGTGTTTGGGGCAGGGAATCCCGTCCCAGCCGGGCTGTGGCTCGTGCTGGCACTGGGAGCGAGGACTGGGGGTGCTGCAGCCCGGAACGTGCCGGGACAGAGCCGTGGTCACCCCGGTGGTGCGGGGAAATCCCGGTGACCGTTCCTCAGGTTTGCAGTGCAGGAGCTGTTGCGATGCTCGGAGGTGCTGCCGGTGACCTTGAGCAGGGAATTCTGCAGCCTGGAGAACCTTGTGAGAACCAATTAGCAGCAGCAAGGGCTCGAGATTCCCCGTGAGGCGCTATCTGGAGGGGCTGCCAGCGGCAGCCAAATTGAACCGCCGGGATCGGGTTAATGGAATTTCATGCTAGGCTGAGCTCGGCACAGGCCTCACACTGCCACACATTTCTGGAAATGAACAGGGAATAACTTGGGAGAGAGCTTTTACGGGGGGGGGATCAGCACATCACAGCCCTGGCCTGGCGGGAGGCACCGGGCCTCTGCTGGGGTCGGGTGATTAAAGATGGGGCCCTTTGTGAGGTCCTCAGTGGGCGGCTGTGATGGCTGGGGGACAGGAGGGGCTGTCTGTCTGTCTGTCCGTCTGTCCATCTGTCTGTCTGCTGGGGGGCAGGAGGGGCTGTCTGTCTGTCTGTCCGTCTGTCTGTCTGGGGGACAGGAGGGGCTGTCTGTCCGTCTGTCTGTCTGTCTGGGGGGCAGGAGGGGCTGTCTGTCTGTCTGTCTGTCTGGGGGGCAGGAGGGGCTGTCCGTCCGTCTGTCTGTCTGGGGGGCAGGAGGGGCTGTCTGTCTCTTTGGGGGGCGGTTTGTTCCGGACTGTTCCACACGGGTTTGTGCCTTTGTCTGTGATTCCCTCCAGTGTCAGACACCATCACGGATATCCCAAATGGAAGGGACCATAGGGCAGTCAGGGATGGGGAGCTGCACCAAAAGTCCCACGTTTTACCTTAATACATTTATATTCACCCCTCCCTTTCTGGTGAGGTAAGAGACAGAAGCCAGATTTTGCCCCAAAAAAGCTTTTTAGGCCTCTTTCCCATGCTTTGGATGAGCTGGACACGGTGCAGGGTGGCGTGGCAGCCGCTGTGTCCTGTGACCTGGGGCAGAGGTGGTTCCCAGCAGCTGAGCAGTGCCATGTGCTGGTGACTTCCCCAGTGCCTTTCCCGGTGCTGTCCCCGTCACGCCCATGGAAAAGGCTCCCAAAGCTCAGGCTGGTTTTTGAGCTGGGGAAGAGCAGCTGAGGTGGGGTTTTGGGAGCAGCCCTGGGTTTGAAATGCCCATTCTCCCTGCCCCATCAGTGATGTTTTCTCTTCCTCCCTGCCCCATCTCCGCCTCTGCAGAGAGCCAAGATTGGAACGGGCTCCAAGGCTGCGGATGAGAAGACAAGAAATGCCATTTCCAAATTAGACAACAACGGCAGCCGGGACCGGATGAAGCTTTCGGATTTCAACTTCCTGATGGTGCTGGGGAAAGGAAGCTTTGGGAAGGTGAGGTACCCCCTGGGCACTGCCTGCACTGACCACGGGTGACTGGGAGCCCAGCTTGGCTCCCCCCTGTCACAGCAGGGAACACCAGAGGTGTCTGATGAGAACAGCACAAAACCCACCCTTTTGGGAAGCAGGGGATGAGCTGCGTCTTCAAAGCTCTTTTTTGTTTGGTTGGGGTTTTCTTCTTCTCTAATAATTACAAATATATGGGAGCATTTTAATTAACTTCCCAGACCGGTTGTGAGCAGTAAGAGAATTTCATTCTCCTGGTAATTATGTGACTTGGAGCCTTCATTCTTCTTAGGGTCTTGCCAATTCTCTTGATTTCCATTCGGGATCCCGGTGCAGGGAAGGCTCTGCAGGAGGTGGGTGCGGTGTTCACTGCTGTGATGGCTGGCCCAGCCCCGCTCTCATTAGTGAATTGCCTTAATTGCAGGGAATATTGCTGTGCCTGCATCCTCATTGCTGGGGCAGGCAGCAGAGATGAGGAGGGTGCGCAGGGATGCTCCCCTGAGCACAGGGGTGCAGCAGGAGCATCCCTTCTTTCCCCAGCCCTCTGCTGGCATTGGAGCTTTGGGAGGTCCCAGCTCCGTTTCCAGAGGTGGAGAGCTCAGAGCTCCACGGCAGCACTTGTGCCAGACAGGGAACGGGGAGGCTCTGCGGGTTCCCCGGCCCCCAGAGCATCAGAGCTCGGCGTGGCACCCTGTGCTGTGGGTTGGCATCCCGGGCTGCAGGAAAGCGTTTCTCACTCAGCCGTGTCCCCTCTGCCCTCCCTCCCAGCACCTCATCCCTTTCAAAGCCTCTGCCCGGCATCTGGAGACTCCGTGGCTGCTCCGTGTCCCCCGCCGCCTTCTTCCCTTCAATTTGAGAAACATTAGCAAACTCCTCAGTCGGCTCCGGCTTATGTAAGGGAATGTGTGACAGAAACTGTTCCCTGGAACAGAATGTTATAAATATGCTAATTAGCGCTAATTAAAACAGCACGTTGGTTCCTCCGGGTGGATGCAGCCTCGCCCTCACGTGTGCCTGCGCTTCCCCAGGCATCCCTGGTGCCCCGGCACCACGGGGACCCCCAGGTGCTCCATCCCCCTTCCTGTGCCTCCAGAGGTGCCAGGTGTTGGGGAGCAGCCAGGCAGAGGTGCCTGCAGCAGGCACAGCCCGGCTCCCCGCGGTTCCCCAGCCCCCGGTGTGCCCAGCAGCTGTTTGTGCCCATGGTGCTGCCATCCTTCCAGGCTGGCACCGTGTCCTTCCCTCTCCAGGGCTGGCACCTGCTCCTGTGCCTGCCTGCTGCCAGCCCTGCTGGCTGCCGCGGCTCTTGGACTACAGGCACGCTGTTTTAGCGAGCCTCTGTCTGTCTCCTTTAACCCTTTGGCACCAGGAGCTCGGTGCCACAGCTCAGCATTTCTCTCTCTCCTCTCGGCTGTCCAGGCTCAGGGGTTCCGACGCCTTGGCCTCGGTGGAGTTTGGCAAGCTCGCTCTCTCTGCCTTCAGAGCATCTCCAGTTCTCATGCTGGAGCATTCCCAAACAAATACTCTATATTACAGGAATAAATCAAGTTAAATATCAGCTTTTTTCTGCACCAATAAAAAGTTAAAAAAGAATGCAATCTGCTTCCCAGCGAGTGCGCTGGCAGATGGAGATCCCCCGAGCCAGGCAGCCGGGCTCAGGGGGTGGAAAATGGATCTGGCTTGGAAAAGAGGGGCCTGGGGGTGTGTGGCCCTGGCTTGGCATGCTCAGCCCCGGTTCACAGATGCCCCTGGTGCTCTGGGGTCCCCGTGGGCTGCCCGGGGCTGTGGCTGGTGGCAGCTCCACGGGGCTGGCACGGGCAGGGGGACGCTCCCACGGAGGGAGGCAGCGCTTGGCACAGCCCACCCTGGGTTTGCTTTGCTGTATTATAAATAGAGGAAAGTGAAATTAGGTGGCTTGCTCATATTTTTTCAGCTAATCAATCTGTCGTGCTCTGGAGCTGTCAGGATTTTTGGGGTTTGTGTTGTTTTGCTGAGCGGGGTGGAGCCTTTGGCCACGGCAGCTCTGGTTCCAGCAGGGTGGGAGAGTTCTCCTGGGCTGTGATGACCTTCAGGCTGTGCCCTGCTCTTCCCTGCCCTGCCCTGGGTGTGAAATGGGCAGGAGAGCAGGACGTGGGCCAGGCTGAGTCCCATCCCATCCCCACCCTGAGCTCTGGGCTGTGCCACGGGCACTTGGCTCTTTCTTCCTTCAGACATCAGGAGGAATTCCTTCCTGGAAAGGATGGTCAGGCAGGGGAAGGGGCTGCCCAGGGAGGTTTGGAATCCCCATCCCTGGATGAGGTTCTGGTTCTGGTTCCAAACTCTTCCTTCCATCCAAGGAAGGCCTGGATGTGACAGGGCTGGTGACAGGGCTGGTGCCAAGGTGGGCATCGGGCACAGGTGGGACTCAATCCTCATGGAGGTCTTTTCCAAGATAAAGGATTCTGGGATTCTGGAATGCAGGAGAGGGGAATCCAGCCCTGATGTGCCTCAGGAGGAGGTTGGTTCCCTGCTGGGCACACACCTCACACCTGGCCATTCCCCAGGTGTCCCCAGCTGAGGCTCAGCAGCTGGACAGTCCTTTTGCCTTCCCCACGCCAGGGAGCAGGGCTGGCTCAGCCGTGCTCAGGGCTGGCACTGGGGATGCTCCATGATCCCTTCACAGCCATGGACAGCCTCCAGCACTCCTCCCAGTTACGGGAGTACCCCAGCCAAGCGCTGCAGAGCAGGGTGAGAGCCACGTCCTCAGCACGGTCCCTTCGGGGCAGGAGCCGATGCCAGGCTCAGAGGCTCCCTGCTCCTGTTAACTTCCCTCTGACAGGGTGCTGGATGGCAAGGCAGGTCTGTATATAACTGATATTGGATATAATGCTCTTACTCTCAGGTAACAGGTTTCATTTTCCCTCGAAATACATTCCTGGACTGGTTACTACTTCTTTTCCACCGATTTTGAGCAGCTAAAACACTTCTGCTTTTATCACCTAAAAATTAGCTCTGGTTTTAGCACCTGTGCCTTGTGTGAAATGGTGATAAATGGAGGCAGTGAAGCAAAGCAGTTCTGTTTGGGCAGAACCACAGGGGAGGGCAGAGGTGCAGACACTGTGAGGCAGCTGTGTCTGCTGCCCTGGCACAGGAACAGGGAATGCCTTGGGCTGGAAGAGACCTTAAAGATCACCCAGTACCACCCTGCCCTGGGCAGGGACACCTTCCACTGTCCCAGGTGCTCCAAGCCCTGTCCAGCCTGGCCTGGGACACTGCCAGGGATCCAGGGGCAGCCCAAGCTGCTCCCAGTGCCTGTGCCTTGCTGGGTTCCAGCATCACAACGAGCTGCTCGGGGCTCCCAGTGTTCTTCAGGGATCAGCAGGTGAATAAATCCCATCCCAAAGTCCCTGACACACCCACGGCTCAGCCTTGCCAGGATGAGCCAGCGTGTGACCCCAGCCATGGGAAAGGGAATGTCAGAGCCTCTCCAGGGCACTGAGGAGCCCCAGTGCCAGTCCCAGCTAACCCTGACAGGCAGCGTGTCAAGGACAGCCAGGCTCCCTCAGGAACCGGCAATGTGCCCAAGCTGCTCACAAAGAGCTGTCCCCTGTCCCCTGTGCCCTGTGCCCTGTCCACTGTGCCCTGTCCCCTGTCCCCTGTCCCCTGTGCCCTGTCCACTGTGCCCTGTCCCCTGTGCCCTGTGCCCTGTGCCCTGTCCACTGTGCCCTGTCCCCTGTCCCCTGTCCCCTGTCCCCTGTCCCCTGTGCCCTGTCCCTGGTATCCACACCCAAACAAGTGGCTGGCACCTCAGGCTGTGTCCCCTGCCTCATCATCCCTGATCCTCAGGCTGTGTCACAGGATGGAATCAGAGTCACTGAGCTTGGAAAAGCCCTGTGAGAGCACTGAGTGCAGCCCCAGCAGTGCCAGCGCCACCCCTGTCCCCAAGTGCCACACGTCCATCTGTTAAAGCCCTCCGGGGTGGGGCTGCCCCGGCAGCCTGTGGAGCAGGAGAGGGTTAATTCTGCTCTCCTTGGTGCCTCTAAGTCACCCTGAGAGCTGTTCATGTGTCTGTGCCCCAGCCTGAAGCACATTTCAGTTCCACCCTATCCATGGTGACTTCCCCTCATTTATTTCCCAAACCCCCGGGCTGCCGTTCCTGGTGCGACTGCAGGATTTCTGCCGACTCCTTCGAATGAAAAGCAATTCATTCCCACCCAGCACTCCAGTCCGAGGCGGTGGGAGAGTGGAGAGGGAGAACAGAACCCAAGTGAGGTTTCAGAGTGGGTTTATTTGCTGGCAGCCCAAGGAGCAGCTTGGGCTGATGGAGCGTGGTGGGTCGGGCAGGGAACCCTGGCTGGGCTGATGGGATTAGCCCGAGGGATTTGCACCAGCAGGAGCCGTGAATCCCATTTGCTGCAATAAATAAAGCTGCCAACGGGTGGGACTGGCTGGAAAGGGGAGGTTGGATGGGTTCTCCTGGCTGAGAGGGGCCTTGGCTGGGTGATGAACCAGCACGTGCTGGGGTTTGCTCTGCTGTGGAGGGAGGGGGGCAGGCAGAGACAACCATGTGGGGTTTTTCGTACTGTTCTAGAGACTAACTCTTTTCCACTTTAAATATTTACCACCTGTAATCTGTGGGCTCTGTGTTCAGCCTCTTGACACCCTCCCAAGGGCCCAGCCCCTGACTCAGGGGTGAGCGGTGCTGGAGGGTGAGCTCAGATGTCATCAAACCCCTCGGGTGGGCTCCTCCAGAGGAGGTGGTGAGGGAGGAGATGTGTCACTCCTTAGAGTCCCTAAACGCTTTTGGGACGAGTCCTGGCAGCTTTCTGGGGCACTGGGGATCCACATCCCCAGGGGACAAGGGGCTGTGCCTGTCCCAGCCTGGGGCACTGGGGATCCACATCCCCCATGGTGCACACCCCTCATGGATCCACATCCCCAATGGTGCACACCCCTCATGGATCCACATCCCCCATGCTGCACACCCCTCCTGTCCCTCCTGGATCCACATCCCCCGTGCTGCACACCCCTCCTGTCCCTCGTGCAGGTGATGCTGGCTGAGAGGAAGGGCACGGACGAGCTGTACGCCGTGAAGATCCTGAAGAAGGACGTGGTGATCCAGGACGATGACGTGGAGTGCACGATGGTGGAGAAGCGCGTCCTGGCTCTCTCGGGGAAGCCTCCGTTCCTGACCCAGCTCCACTCCTGCTTCCAGACCATGGTAAGGCTGCTGCCACAGCTGCTCCCCACCAGGGCTGTGGTGTCCTGACACTTTGGAAAATTGGACTGGTATCCAAGGCTGGGTTGGACAGGGCTTGGAGCAGCCCGGGACAGCGGAGGTGTCCCTGCCATGGCAGGGCTGGCACTGGATGGACTTTAAGGTCCCTTCCAACCCAAACCATTCCAGGATTTTATGTTCTCTGTACATCACTGCCCTTGCCAAAGCAATTGTGTACTCTGTGCCTTGGCAGCCTCACACCTTCTCCAGTTCACTGGCAAAAGTGCCTCCAGGACCAAAACGTGGGAGTGTGACCTGGAGTGTAATGCACAATAGCTGCACCCTGAGATGTGCTCATCAGGGAGCTGCTGCTGCCACTGGGGGTGATTTCCCAGCCCCTCAGGTGCCCCCAGCCCACTGCACCCCTTATGGCTCCATAGCAAAGTGCTGCACTTCTTCCCAGGACTCATTCCTCTCATCAAAGCCCTGAGCAGAGGGAGAAACCTAATCCAAACTGCAGGAAATCCACTTTTCCATGGGTGTGTGATTGGGTTTGTGTGAGTCAGGAGTGGAGAGGGGGACAGGGGACTTTTAATACAATCCCTGCCCGGCCCTCGAGCAGCCCGTGAATGAGAATGTCCAGGTACACGTCAGTGGGAATCAGCAGAGTCCTTTAGAACGACGACAATGCTTTCCAGGAGGATTACATTTTAATATTATCCCAGAAATTTCATTTACCAAACACATTGAGTGTATTTAAAGCCTGCGGCCCGGCTTTGCAGCGCAGCAATCAGGATGTGGCAGGAGCAGCTATTTCACACAGCATCTCCCTGGCATCTCAAGTGAGTCAGCGCGGGATTATTGCTGGCAGACCTATAGTAGCTTAATAGTAATCGTATTTGTAATGTAATCAAAATGTATAGCAGGGTGTATTATCAAACGCTGGCACAAAGCACTTTGATTTCTGGGAGCACAGTCCAGAGCACAATTCTCCGCCGGGGCTGTTGGCTCAGCGGCTTCGGGAGAGAGAAAAGCCTTAAATCTGCGTTTTAATGGAAAAGGGAGGATGAACAAGGGGAGAGCTCCTGCCTGGGGCTGGAGGGTGAGAAGTGCCTGTGCTGGGGGGATCTGGGGTGCCCTGAAAGGCCCCAGGTCAGAGCCTGGGCTCTGGGATGGGGGTGAGCTGGGGGTCCCTGGGTGTCCCCAGGTGAGCTGTGCCCTTGCTGTGACCTCTGGGGCAGCCACAGCCACGCTGACATGACAAACCACAGAATAAACACACATGATAAATCCTGGGATGGTTTGGGTTGGAAGGGACCTTGAAGATCATCCATGGGCGGGGACACCTTCCACTATCCCAGGTGCTCCAAGCCCTGTGCAGCCTGGCTTGGGACACTTCCAGGGATCCAGGGATGCTCTGGGCACCCTGTGCCAGGGCCTCCCACCCTGCCAGGGAAGGATTTCTCCCAGTTTCTAGTGAGGTGTGGATGGGGAGTGTGGCTGTGGTCCTGGCTCTGCCCCAGCGTGCAGCCAGGCAGGGATGGAGCAGTTAAATGGAAGGGCACTGGAAGGAGCCCTGGGAGTGTCGCCTTGGCTGCCCAGGGAAGGGGGAGTGTCAGCAGCTCCATGCCAGGCTCTGCAGTGGATTTACATCTCTGAGCTGTGCTGCTGCTGCTCAGCGAGTTTGGATGCTCCAGACTTGGACAGAGCTGTCCTTGGCAGTGGCACGAGCTGGGCCAGCCCTCCGTGCCCATCCATCCCTGCATCCCTGCATCCCTGCATCCCTGTATCCCTGCATCCCTGCATCCCTGCATTCCTGCATCCCTCTATCCCTGCATTCCTGCATCCCTCTATCCCTGCATCCCTGCATCCCTGCATCCCTCTATCCCTGCATCCCTGCATCCCTGCATTCCTGCATCCCTGCATCCCTGTATCCCTGCATCCCTGTATTCCTGTATCCCTCTATCCCTGCATCCCTGCATCCCTGCATCCCTCTATCCCTGTATCCCTGCATCCCTGCATTCCTGCATCCCTGTATTCCTGTATCCCTGCATCCCTCCATCCCTGCATCCCTGCATCCCTCTATCCCTGTATCCCTGTATCCCTGTATCCCTGCATCCCTGCATCCCTGCATTCCTGCATTCCTGCATCCCTGCATCCCTGTATCCCTGTATCCCTGTATTCCTGTATCCCTGTATCCCTGCATCCCTGCATCCCTCTATCCCTGCATCCCTGCATCCCTGTATTCCTGTATCCCTGTATCCCTGTATCCCTGCATCCCTGCATCCCTGTATTCCTGTATCCCTGCATCCCTCCATCCCTGTATCCCTGTATCCCTGTATCCCTGTATCCCTGTATCCCTGTATCCCTGTATTCCTGTATCCCTGCATCCCTGTATCCCTGTATCCCTGTATCCCTGTATCCCTGCATCCCTCTATCCCTGCATCCCTGCATCCCTCCATCCCTGCATCCCTCTATCCCTGCATCCCTGCATCCCTGCATCCCTGTATCCCTGTATCCCTGTATCCCTGTATCCCTGTATCCCTGTGTCCCTGTATCCCTGTATCCCTGCATTCCTGCATCCCTGCATCCCTGTATCCCTGCATTCCTGCATCCCTGTATCCCTGTATCCCTGTATCCCTGTATCCCTGTATCCCTGCATTCCTGCATCCCTGCATCCCTGCATCCCTGCATCCCTGCATCCCTGCATCCCTGCATCCCTGTATCCCTGCATCCCTCTATCCTTGCATCCCTGCATCCCTCTATCCCTGCATCCCTGCATCCCTGCATCCCTGTATCCCTGTATCCCTGTATCCCTGTATCCCTGTATCCCTGTGTCCCTGTATCCCTGTATCCCTGCATTCCTGCATCCCTGCATCCCTGTATCCCTGCATTCCTGCATCCCTGTATCCCTCTATCCCTGTATCCCTGTATCCCTGTATCCCTGCATTCCTGCATCCCTGTATCCCTGCATCCCTGCATCCCTGCAATCCTGCATCCCTGTATTCCTGTATCCCTGCATCCCTCTATCCCTGTATCCCTCTATCCCTGCATCCCTGCATCCTGGGCACCTGCCCACTCCCCTGAGCCTTCCTTTCCCCACCCCAACCAGGACAGCTCAGCTCCTGCTTTTAGAGCTCAGCTGGCTGTTTCAAGAGCCTGTCTTTTTAATATTCTTCCTCCTTGAAGCAGATCGATATATTTAGGAGGCAGCTGCAGCCGAGCCCGGCGCTGCTCGGCTCTGTCACGGGCACTGCCGGGGCGGTGGCTCTCAAGGTGACATTGCCACACGCGGCTGGCCGGCCCTGCCGGGGCTGTCCTTCACACACGGGGTGCTCCCCAAGCCCCAGGCAGCGGAAAAGCCAAATTCCCCACTCCATCCCATCAGTGCCACGTGTTTTACACAGCCCCACTGTCCCTGTGCTGCTGTCTTTGATCCCCTGGGGCTGCCCCACAGCCGGGGGCTGTGCTGGGGGCAGCAGCTGCTCACCCCAGTTCTGTGGCTGGGCAGTGCCCTGTGGCTGCTGACCCCAGTTCTGTGGCTGGGCAGTGCCAGGCTGGGCAGTGCCCCGTGGGTTCTGAACCCCAGTTCTGTGGCTGGGCAGTGCCCCATGGTTGCTGACCCCAGTTCTGTGGCTGGGCAGTGCCCTGTGGGTTCTGACCCAGTTCTGTGGCTGGTCAGTGCCAGTCTGGGCACTGCCCTGTGGGTTCTGAACCCCAGTTCTGTGGCTGGGCAGTGCCCTGTGGGTCCTGACCCCAGTTCTGTGGCTGGGCAGTGCCCTGTGGGTCCTGACCCCAGTTCTGTGGCTGGGCAGTGCCTTGTGGGTTCTGACCCAGTTCTGTGGCTGGGCAGTGCCAGGCTGGGCAGTGCCCTGTGGGTCCTGACCCCAGTTCTGTGGCTGGGCAGTGCCCCGTGGCTGCTGACCCCAGTTCTGTGGCTGGGCAGTGCCAGGCTGGGCAGTGCCCTGTGGGTTCTGAACCCCAGTTCTGTGGCTGGGCAGTGCCAGGCTGGGCAGTGCCTTGTGGGTTCTGACCCAGTTCTGTGGCTGGGCAGTGCCAGGCTGGGCAGTGCCCCGTGGCTGCTGACCCCAGTTTCCCCACAGCCCTGGTTATGGCAGTGCTCCAGCTGCGTCTCTCGTGGGCTCCCTGTCCTTCCTGTCAGAAAAGCAGGGCAAGGATTATTTAAGGAGGAAATGAGCAATGGGAATTTTTTTTATTTATTATGTAATGCTGCCAACCTGCAGCTCCTGCAGTGCTCCAGCCTCTGTGTCCTTCCTTCCTTCCTTCCTTCATTCCTGGGTGGGATGGGGCAGCCCGGGGCTGTCACTGGGCTCTCAAGCACTGAGGGCCCTTGGCACTGCAGGCCCTTGTCCCCAGCTCTCCTGGAGCCCATTTAGGCCCTGGAAGGGGCTCTGAGCTCCTCCTGGAGCCTTCTCTTGTCCAGGTGAACATCTCCAGCTCTCCCTGGGCTCCTCTGGACTGCCTTAACCCCGTGTGAACACGAGCAGAGTGACCCCTCAGGCCAGGCAGGAAGGAGTGAGCAGAGGGGTGCACACCCCTGCAGACCTGTGCAGCCCCAGCTCTGCTGCCCTGGGAGAGGTGGCAGTGTCACACATCCCTCCTGCTGCCTGGTCCCGTGCTCGTGGATGGGGTTTGGTCCCTGTGGGAGCTGCTCCAGCCTCCTGGGCATCCCTGCCTGGAGCCATGGAGTGCCTGGGGAAATGCCAGCGAGGACCTGCAGAGCAACACTCTGGAAATGGCTTCTGTCAGGAACAGCAAATGTACTCCTGGGAGGTGACAAAGCTCTGGTTTGGGGATTCCTCTGCTTGCCTCCTCAGTGGATCTGCCAGCAGAGGGGCAGAGCTCCAGTCCTGAGCATTGCCAAGGAATTAGAACTCAGGGGCTCTGTGAGCAGTGGCCCCCGCAGCCCACGGGGAGGACAGGCCTGGTGACTGTCACCGTGTTTGTGACACCTGCAGATTCCCTGCTCTGATAATCCTGCTGATAATTCCTTGCTTTTCTTTCCTTCAGGATCGCTTGTATTTTGTGATGGAGTACGTGAACGGTGGGGACTTGATGTACCAGATCCAGCAGGTCGGGAGGTTCAAGGAGCCCCACGCTGTGTGAGTGCAGTGCTTTGGCACCCTTGGGCAGGTGTGGGCTCTACCTGGGTCACAGGGCTGGGGACAGAGTCCGAGGCACAGGCTCTGCTCCTGGGCAGAAATCAGCAATGGGAAGAGGCAGAAGAACTCTTTGCCTGATGTTGGTGCCTCCACCTCGCCCTTGGGGTACATTGTACTTGCAGTCATTGAGCTGAATAGATAAATTCAGGTAAATAAAGGCACAAGGCAGGGAGGTTTGGAGGCTTTCTGGGAGACACCAGGCCTCTTCTCTATCCCCTTTCCCAGGGGACGAGAGGGATTGTTGGGTTTTGGCTCCTCTGCCAGCATGGTCAACCCAAGTGCTAACCAGGGGCTTTTGTCTCCTGTTCTTGAGAGCTGGGCAGAGCAGGATGTGTTCCTGAAAGCCTTCAGACGCTCACATAAACCCCACAAACACTGAGCAGAGCCTGCTGGGCTGCACCAGTGGGGCAGTACCTGCTGGCTCCGGGAGCAGGGACCCTGTTGTGAGCCGGCCATGGGGGAAGGAGGCAGCTCTTGTTGTGTGTGTGTGAGCAGAAGTGACAGCCCCCAGCAGCATCACTGCCCGCTGCGAGTGCAGCCTGCCTCGGATCACCCTCCTGTCATCCTTCCTGGAATTTCTCTGCCGTGTCCTTTGGTCACATCTGCCTGACGCGTTTCCTTCGCTGCCACCCGGCTGGGAAGATTTTCATTTATCTCCTTTAATTATCAGTCTTCCTTTCAAACCTCTTTCAGATTCTACGCAGCAGAAATAGCCATCGGGCTCTTCTTCCTGCAGAGCAAAGGCATCATTTATCGGTAGGTGAGCGTGTTCCTCCCCCTGCCCCCCTCCCTGCCTTCCCCTGAGCTCCAGCAGGAGCCCCCAGCCCGGCCCCCCTGCCCTGCCCTGCCCTGGATGGGGTCTGGGTGCTGCCCACAGGTGGAATGACAGGATCTTTAAGGTTGGAAAAGTCCTGTGGGATCGCTGAGTGCAACCACCAGCACGTGATGTGTCCTGAAAGGGAGCCCCTGCTTTGGGGGAGGTTCCTGCTTTTCACCAGTTCATGGGAAAGCAGCTCTGGTTCTCTCCTGCCCCTGCTCCATGTGCTCCTCTCCACACAACACCAACGCTCCCTGGCAGCCTGGAGCAGCTCCAAGCCCCGAGTTTGGCTGCAGGGCACTGCTCTCTCACCATTGGCACCGGAGCCAGCGCTGCCAGTGCCTTGTTCCGAGCTCTGCGGTGCCACTCTGTCACCTCTGCTGCAGCCACTGAGGCTTCTTTGCCAATCCCAGTTAGATTCCAGCACCCAGAGCTAGCTGGGTCACTGCCATGTGCAGGCTCACAGCCTGCTGCTTTAGCTCTGAAACCAGTGTTCACTGCTCTTCCCTGCTTGGGAGAATTCCCGGAGCCCAGGGTGGAGCAGAGCATCCTAATGAGTGTCAGATACCATTAAGTGCTCTGCAAAGGGAGATGCCAACAGTGCTGCTGGAGTCAGGAGATGCTAAAGATGAAAGAAGTGGAACGAACTTGACGTGAGGGCTGGTTTTTGCCATCAGCTGCTACGGAGAGATTCTAGGTCTGTTGGTCCCCAGTGGCTCCTCTTCCTTCCTTCCTCCGAATCCCAATCCCAGCTCATGTCCGTCTGCCTTTGGCCTGTCAGGCTTCTGAGCACTGACATGATAATTAGAAAATACAGCCTTAAACCCAGTAAGAATGTATAAAGAGCACCAAAATACCCAGTGTTTGCTACAGAAGTGTCCTTGAGGCTGGAGCATCCAGCTCTGGAGTGGTGGCTCAGGGCTGGGATTCGGATCCAGGGATCAGCAGCTGGATCCACCTCCAGTTTGTGCAAAGGTTGGGTACCACCAACAGGTACTCTGGGGGCGAGGAGCAGAGGGAAGCACAGCTGGTTTGTATTTCGGGGGGAGCAGAGCACTGGTGAGGCAGGGACTTGTGCTGAGTAGGTGCTTCTCCATCACAAGAGCTCTAAGTGTACTTTGATTTTCACGGGAGCGAAAGAAAAAAAATCAATTAAATCCGTCTCCTGCCAGAGGAGCGTTTTCCATCGCACACTTCAAAGCACCGTGCCCAGCACGGCATTCCCGTGGCTTAGAAGTAAATTCAGCACTCCATCCTGACAGATCTCTGACTCCTTTTTGCTCATTCCCCGAGCTCTGTCCTGCGGAGGGTGTGGGTGTGAGACAGCGGAGCCTGGCGCTGTGTCACGGGTTTGCTCTCGCCCTGCAGAGACCTGAAGCTGGACAATGTGATGCTGGACAGCGAGGGGCACATAAAGATCGCCGACTTCGGCATGTGCAAGGAGAACATCTGGGACGGGGTGACCACCAAGACCTTCTGTGGCACTCCGGACTACATCGCGCCCGAGGTAGGGACGGGGACGGCGGCCGATGATCCCTGCTGCTCCCTGCCGGGGTGGCCTTGCTTGGGGCAGCTTCCCAGCCCAAACAGGGACACCCAGCAATTCACCAGCAGCCTGCAGAGTTCATGCCCTGGGCACTGTCCATCCCCCTAAGGGAACAGGGGTGTGCCTGCCTGTTGTGCTGTGTCCTGCTTCCACCTCAAAGAGCAGCAGATCCTGGTGCTGCTCTCCCTGCAGGGTGTTTTCCCCATCTGGGGGCTTTTCCCATGTCCATCCTGCTCCAGCTCTGTGCCTCTTCTGTCCTTGGCATGCTCAGACCCACTGCAGGCTGCTCCTCACGTGCTCCCTTGCTCCTGGAAATGACAAACCCAGGAGCTCAGCTCTGCCCCTCACTGCGTGATAGAAGCTTCCAGCACACGAGAAACAGGGAATTATCAGTGGGGAATATTTCCATGTGGAGTGGAAATCCTTAGATCTCTGCAGCTCACTGTGTGCAGTGAGGGGACGTGTGTCTGATGGGGAGAGGCTCCCCATCCCTGGCTCTGGATCCCCCAGAAATGACTTTGCATTTGGTTATTGCTGGTGTGATAGAGTCACACATGGCACTTCCATGAAGTGCTGCATGGGCACAGTTTAGTGCCAGACTTGTGAAGTTCAGAGGAGTAATTATTCTCAAATGTCTGTTCCCTTCACTTCAAAGTATCACTCTAAACTCTTGTCTCTGCTGAATTTGCAAAGATGAAGTTAATATTTCTTCACGTAAATGTTTCAGGGAGATTCTCTTTGATAGGACATCAGTGCACTCGTGTGCTAAACCACCTTGTGTTTGCAGTGAGGTTTCCCATTTCTGCATCCATGGTGTGTGCCATCCCTCACCCCCCCAGGATTAACGCTGGTGCTGGTGGTGCACAGCTTCTCACCGTGGGTGATTAATGCTCCTTCAAAGCAGGACAAATGACCAGTTCCCCACCTGTTTGCCCAAGTGTTTTCACTTCAGCTCTTATTTTCTTCTCCTTGCTGTAATTCTTCTTTTTCCAAAAGAAAAGCAGCAAATGTGAAATTAGGATGCAAATCACCTTGGCACCCAGGAGAGGCATTAAAGCCTGCCTGTGGGTGTCAGGGGATCCATCCCACTGTGTTTGGGGGCAGCAACAGGATTCTGTGGTTGTGGTGCCGTGGCCTGGGCCCTTGTGCTGCTCTCATCCTCCTCATCCTCCAGGGAGCTGCAATGTGCTCAGGCCAGAGTGGCTGCAGGGTGAAACTGTCCTGGGGTTTGCTTGAGCCATTTCTGGGCCTTCTCCTGTTCCGAGCAGGGCTCTGCATGCCCAGGTGACAGGGACAGCCTGGGAACGGCCTGGAGTGTGATTTCCTCTGAACAAAGCTGCTTGTCACCTGGGCTGTGGCACCTGGGCTGTGTCAGGGGCTGTGTCACCTGGGGCTGTGTCACCTGGGCTGTGTCACCTGGGGCTGTGTCACCTGCTGGGTGTGACCTTCCCGAACCAGCAGCAGGGGCTGCACAGGACAGGGAATTTCTTTTAAGTGCTCTTTCCTTTCAAGGCCTCCATGGCATGACCTGTTCACACCTGAATTTCCCAGGGCGTTTTGAAGAGCGAGGGGAGGGACTCGGAGTGGGCTCAGGGGAGGGAATTCTGTGCTGAAATGTGTCCCAGGGAACAGCCCCAGCCCCAGCTCCAGCTGGGAATGGCTTTGCCCCGTGCCACAGGGCTGTAATGCTGCTGTTGCTCTTTGCAGATCATCGCTTACCAGCCCTACGGGAAGTCTGTGGACTGGTGGGCGTTTGGAGTCCTGCTCTACGAGATGTTGGCTGGCCAGGTAATCGAGTTTTAATGGATTCCTCCGGGCTGGGTCACGTTCCCTGTGAGCACAGGCTGCCCTGGGGTTTGCCCATCCATGTGGACAGCCCTGAGCTGGGGGTGGCACTGGGGCACAGGGACTGCAGTGACAAGGCTGGTGTCACCGTGCCTGGGGCTGGCCCCACAGCAGCACACGGGAGCTTGGGGACCCAGGAGCGCCCCTGAAGCCGTGGCTGCTCTGCTCTAGGCCCCCTTTGAGGGAGAAGATGAGGATGAGCTCTTCCAGTCCATCATGGAGCACAACGTCGCCTACCCCAAGTCCATGTCCAAGGAGGCAGTGGCGATCTGCAAAGGGGTAAGGGCTGGGCTGGGGGGTGTGGGGAGTGGGAGCCTGCAGCCCTGGGGGTCCCAGCTCAGCCTCTGACACCCAGCACGAGCAGAGTCTGACACTGCTGGGTTCTGGTTCTGGTGCCCTCCTGAAACCACAACTTGTGCTGCTGTGTGTGCAGGTACCAAACCCAGGTGAAACCAGCACCTGCATCCTCTCCGTGCCCTTACCCCGAGCAGAAATGGGAGCTGGGGCTGGCCTGGGGGTCAGGAGAGAGCTGGGGGGCTGGCTGGGAGGTGGGATGGGAGGGCTCCTGCCCAGACACCCTGTGCCCCAGCAGGTGAGGACAGGACAGCTCTGTGAACCCCTGCCTGAAACGAAAAATGATGCTCAGGGAAAATGGATGTGATTCCCAAATAGCTTTCCTAAGATCAGACACAAAACCTTCATCCTTCCACTTAGCTGTGATAAGTTGCCCTTTGGGTGCCCCAGCCTGAAGCTCTGGTGGTGTCTCCATGGGCTCAGGGCAGCATTCTCATTATCCTGTCTCTTAATTTGCAGTGAAGCTCTGCCTCGCCCAGCATCCCAAGCTGGGCTCTCCATGGCCTGGGCCTGGGCCCGACTTAATTTGGGATGTGATGGATGAAGGCTGGCGAGGTCCTGATGTTGTTGTGTGTGCTTGGGACTGAGCCTCATCTCACCCCCCAGTGCCACACGCTGCTATAAATAAGTGTTTGTGTAGGAATTTAAGAAATGTTTGCTTATAATAGTTAATATTGAAAATATCTGAATGTTCTCTATCTCAAAATAGTGTTTCTATCTACAAATGACACATCCTGCGCTTAACGCTCCCACTGCGGCATTTCAGAGCCTCTTCCCGGCGTTGCCAGGATTCTGAGCTGGTGTTAAAGAGGAATATTCACTTGTCCCGTGGGGAAAAGCTGCTGCTGGTGCTCCCACCTGGAATGGGGCACGGGGAGGGGCGGCTGCCCTGCCACAGCCAGCAGGACGCAGGAAAATCAAATCCTTAATTCAGAAACCGCGCTGGCGGCTGGAGGGGGATTCCCACGGAGGCTGTCACCATCTCCATCCTCCTGCTGCCGTTTTTTGGGATGTAAAGGGGAAATGCAGGGTGCTCCAGGCCGGGCAGGGGCTGGGGGACACTGAGTGCTGCCTTTGTTTGCTGCTGCATCAGGCACGACGTGGGTGCTGTAAATCAGAGCGGGGACTGCGGCTGCTGGGTGCTGCTGCCGTGGCTCTTCTCGCTCCGGAGATGGGAGGATGCTGGGGCAGGCACCGAGGGCTGGCTCTCCGTAATTCCCCTGGGTTTTTGTAGCAGTGGTGGTTCCCTCTCTGTTAGTGTTCTTTCAAAACCTCAGGACATTTTTTTGCCACCACCAAACTGCCACACCAGAAAGTTTGATTACCACTCCGTGTGGGATCCCAGAACTTTTCAGTGAGCTGGGAGCTGTTTATGTTTTCCCCTAAAACACAGTGAAGTAGGACTTGGTGAGCTGCAGGGAGCTGTGTTGGCTGTGCCAACAGGCCATCAGGGAACTGGAGAAACCTCTGCCCCATAGCAAAGGCATGGAATGTTTTCTGCAGTATTTTGGGAATATTTACAGGTGTTTTGGGTGGCATTTCCCCAGTGCTGCTGCCTGAGGAAAGCCCATCAGGGCTGCAGTCCGTGCTGCCCTGTTTCATGTTCGAGAGGCCAGGACATGTCACCTCTGCCACCTTCCCAGGTGGAATCTGGGATTCCTTGTTGGGTTTTTATTTTATAAAGGTCCCTGTGCTGCAACGCCAAGGGAAACTCAATTATTAACGAAAAGCAAGTAGGAAAAATATTCTTGCTTTTGTTTTTGCTGGCCTCTGGCCCCTCCCTCCCTGGCCCTCCAGCTTGGCTCCAGCCTGGCTCCCTGCTCGAGGATGGGCTCTGCGAGGCTGATGCTGATGCAAATCACATCCTCACCCTGAGCAGAGGCTGGAAAATCCCTGGCCCAGCCTGCAGAGCCTGCCAGGCCCTCGCTGTTTGTAGATGGGCTTTCCAGGGAGGTGCTGCCTCGCAGGAGCTGCTCTCCATCACTCTTCCAGCTGCAGATGCCGTCACAGCTGGAGGCCAGGCATGTGGAGCTGTTCGCTCACAGAGCAGCTGGTGGCTCTGCTCTCACCTTGTATTTGTTAGAGCTGGGTTTTTTTGTGTTTTCAGGGTTTTAGGTTTGTGTTTTGTTTTTTCCCTCAGGGTTTTCCTTGCTTTCAGTGCCCCATTGCAGCTGTTTGAGATCGGCTTTCCTGAGCGAGTTTGATTTGTGCCGTTGGGGTGGCGGGGCTGACCTGGATCCAGTGGGTGGGAGGTGTCTGAGCCCCCCAGCTCTGGCAGCTCCTGTCCCTGCCAGGGCTCTCACAGCCCTGGGACACGGGCTCAGGCTTGCTCAGCCTCTGCACAGCCCTGGCACCAGGATGGACTGCCCTGCTCTTAATAAAGCAGTGCTTTTGTTGCAGGTATAAAGCTGATATTCTCCATCCTTATCAACACCTTGTGAATCTCTGGAATCTCCATCTGATCTCTGAACACCACCCCAGGATATTAATGTTGTACAGCTGCCCATAATTCCTGGGGCCCTTTCCCTTCTTGAGCCAGTGAAGAGGAGAAGTTTAGATGATGAACAACATTAATGGAGTGTTTGTGCTATTTTTCCCCCAAATTGACTCTCTCATTAGAAATCCACCTCGTGTCTGTGCTGCCACAGCTCCAGAGGTGAGGGGGTTCTGCCTCCAGGGCTGATGAAGGTTTTGGAGGGCAGATTCCATCTGAAAGGATCAGGGGGTTTTAGAGCTGAGTCTAAATGATGATGAGAAGTTTGTGCCAAGCAAAGGGAGCGCTGGGCAGCTCCCCTGCAGCAGCCAGGTGCTGAGGGAGCCCTGCCAGCACCCCGGGGCTGCTCCTTGGCAAAGCAGCTCCATTCCCAGAGGGAAAGGGGATGTGTCCATCCCAGCAGTGCTCGTGTGCCTGCCATCTGCACAGTCTGCTCTCATAAGCCATTGTCAACCTTTCCTGTGCCTGAGCCACCCCAGCTTCTTCCTCAGTGTCCTCCCCTTGGAGCCCCAAAGGCGTCTGGAGGAGATGGGGCCCTGATGGGGCTGTCCTGGGATGTCCAGCTGGGAAAAACAGCTCCCTGGGGACTTCTCAGAGGGGACATTTTGGGGAGCAGCGGGACACCCCGTGACTGTTTCCTCCTGCTGTCCCCAGCTGATGACCAAGCACCCCGCCAAGCGCCTGGGCTGCGGCCCCGAGGGGGAGCGGGACATCAAGGAGCACGCGTTCTTCCGCTACATCGACTGGGACAAGCTGGAGCGCAAGGAGATCCAGCCCCCCTTCAAGCCAAAGGCTGTAAGTGTGCTGGATTCCCTCTGCCCCACTGCTGGGTATCCCCTGTGCCCCACTGCTGTGTCCCCTGTGCCCCACTGCTGTGTCCCCCCTCTGCCCCACTGCTGTATCCCCTCTGCCCCACTGCTGTGTCCCCTCTGCCCCACTGCTGTGTCCTCTGTGCCCCACTGCTGTGTCCCCACTGCCCCACTGCTGTGTCCTCTGTGCCCCACTGCTGTGTCCCCTGTGCCCCACTGCTGTGTCCCCTCTGTGCCCCACTGCTGTGTCCCCTGTGCCCCACTGCTGTGTCCCCACTGCCCCACTGCTGTGTCCCCCCTCTGCCAGGGACCCTCCGGGGTCTCTCCCACCCTGGGTGGGTGCAGCTCATCCTGGGGGTGCCTCTTCTCTGTCCCCATGGAAGGTGGCATTCCCTGGGACCTGGCAGTGCCACAGCCCTGCTGGGACAGGAGAAGTCTGTGCTCCTGGTCCCAAATCTGGCTCGCAGGGCTGGAAGCTCCACACATTCAGCTCCTGGACCCGTTTGTATTGCAGCCTGTCTGTTTTGTCATCCTGTGTCTGTCGGTCTTGTTGGGTTTGTCCTCCCTTTCTCTCAAGATGACCAGGTCTTTCTTTTCTTTAATCCCAACTTTATTTCCAGTGACACCAGCACAGGGGTGACACCAGAGCAGGGGTGGGTGACACCAGAGCAGGGGTGACACCAGTGCAGGGGTGACACCAGCACAGGGGTGACACCAGCACAGGGGTGGGTGACACCAGCGCAGGGGTGGGTGACACCAGCACAGGGGTGACACCAGCACAGGGGTGACACCAGCACAGGGATGGGTGACACCAGTGCAGGGGTGACACCAGCACAGGGGTGGGTGACACCAGCACAGGGATGGGTGACACCAGCGCAGGGATGGGTGACACCAGCACAGGGGTGGGTGACACCAGCGCAGGGATGGGTGACACCAGTGCAGGGGTGACACCAGCGCAGGGGTGACACCAGTGCAGGGATGGGTGACACCAGTGCAGGGATGGGTGACACCAGCACAGGGGTGACACCAGCGCAGGGGTGGGTGCCTGTGCTTGGGGCTGCAGGTTTCAGCCAGGTGTTTTGCACCAGGCTCGCTCCTGTGCCTTTGCAGGGAGCTCCAGGGGTGCTGTCCTTGGGGCTGCTCCCAGCCCACAGCACCGAGGGCCAGCCTGCTCTGCCCCCTGCACAGGAGCAGGGAGACACAGCTGGGCAGCACTGGGCTCTGCACTGCTGCCTGCTTGCCTTTCCCAGGGAGGGAAGGGGATCCTCAGGGCCCTGCAGCATGCAGGAACAGCGTTACAGGGAGAGCTGTCGCTTTGGTATCCAGGTGCAGCGGTGTGGGAGGGTTTGGGGCTGGGTGTGCACCCCATGGTTTGCTCTCTGGGGCTGGGTCCGACCTTTGTGCCAGGGATGCTCAGGTACAAGTGGGAGCTGCAGCTGTGGAGGGATCCTGATCCATACCTGGATTCACTGAAGGGGCACCAGGGCTTCCTGGGGTTATTCTGCACAAGATTCTCCTGAATCCACAGCTTCTGCCATTTCCCACCTCTGTGTCCATTTTCCAGTGAAGCTGCTGCTGCTGTGTCCCCTCCAGCCACCTCTCTCTTCCTGAGCAGGTCCCCAGTGTCACTGCCTGCCCTGGGCAGGGGCAGAGCACTGGTGCTTTACCCTAAAAAACAACTGAATCCCATCAAAAGCACTTTCTTACTGCTCTGCTGCTTTAAAGTGTGCAAATTTTGTCTTGTTTTAAATGTCTCCTTCCTTTAAAAATCCCTCTGACACCGGCCCTGGGGAGGGGCACTGCCGGCTGTCGCTTCACCCAGCGCCCGGAAAATTCCCTGTTTGATAGGACAGGGAGATTAGCAGCAGCTGACTTGGGATTTAGGGAGGATTAAGACAACTCAGGTACCTGCTGATAGCTGATATTTCTCCAGCAGTGCCTCTGTGCTGGAAAAAGCTGTTTCTTTGGTGTCAGCTGTGAGCAGCAGGGATGGGAATGGGGCTCGGACCCTGCACAGAGCATTTGGGGGTGACGAGGGGAGATGTGGCCGAGGGTTTGTCACCTTCAGGTGGCCACACCAGGGCCCAGTGCTGCTGCAGTGGTGCTGGCCTGGCTCTTCACCTTGCTTTAAGCCTATTTTCTGTGTATTTTTTTATAATTAGCATCTCTAAAGGTCAGGCTGCAGGAATTGTGTGTATCCAGAGCTTCAAAATAAGGAATAAGATGCAAATGAGGTCTGGGAGTCAGCCCTGACCTGTCCCCAGCCTTCCCCTTCTGCAGCCCATGGGAACACCAGCCAAGGGGAGCAGAGCCCCATCCAAATGTCCATCCTCGTTTTGCTGCTCAGAGGCACCATCAGCTCCTGTTTGGTTTGTGCTGGTGGCTCAGCCCCTCCAGTCCCCACAGAGCCACCCTTGCTCCAGGTCTCTGCTGCAGCACACACCAACCCCTGGTGATTTCTGTCATCTGCAGCCTCCCTGCAGCTTGGGGAGGGGGCACAGGGGTTGCTGGGGAGGGAATCCCATCCCTCCCCAAACCTCCCTCGTTTCCCACCAGCAGTGAGCAGAGGCTGCAGCCCGGGCTGTGCAATCCCCAGGAGCTGCTGTGTTGCTTTGTGCTTGATTAACCTTTATCACAGAGCCAGGAACAAGACAGATCAGGGGCTGGGCTGTCTTTGGTGGCTCTGACGTGGGGCTCTGCTTGGCTGCTCCCTGCTCTGGCTGGTGCATAACAATTCCTTTCCTGGGTCTGCAGTTACCCTGGGAGTGTATTTACACTTCCCTGCTCTCCCTGTCTCTCGTTGAGATAATTACTGTTTTTGGTATCTAATTACTCTTTTACTTTACATAAAGCCTAGTGATTTGAAAAGTCTCATTCTGAAAGCACTGAAATCACACGGCAGAGCCCAGGATTATTCACAACAGCATGGGGGGTTAAAAAAAAATGGCTTTTAATCTAATAATTTTTAATTGCATAAATTAATTTCCCCCTAACTGCTTGGAGTTAATTAATATTGAAATGCTACTTACAGACCTGGATGTGTATAAACACCAGGTCCCTGCATAGAGGCTTTTGTAGCCTTAGTTCAGCCTGTGCAGGGTGAGTTCTAATATTTGCATAAATAATTTCCTAATTAGATGGGATTTAAGGATTGAGGGGCTGACATTGGGCAGCTGCATGTGCTGAGGTCAAACACCTCTGATAATCCAGTCAGGATTTGCTCTGGGAGACCCAGGGCCCTGTAAAGACTTTCCCTGGGATTGCCAGACTATTCAGCCTCTGTTTTCAGTGTGACAGGAGCAGAACCTTGGCTTTTTCCCTCGGGGAGGGATGGTCCTACACCAGGAGCCCTTGCAGGGGATGCTCCCTTTGACAGCAGCAGGGATAAAGGGATGCTGGAGCATCCCAGACTGGATGCCAGACACAATGAAAGGCACCACTGTCCCCTGTGACCATCACAGGGACCCTCAGTGTGGCCCCAAGTCCGTGCTGAGACCCAAATTCCCCTAAATGTGATTGCCAGAAGAGCCCTGATCCTCCCCAGGGAGCAAGGAGCCAATTCCCTGGCCCAGAGCAGCACCAGGAAGGTCAGACTTGCCCAGGAGATGCCTGGAGTGAGGGATTGTGGCTGTGCCACTGGTTTGGGACAAAACCCTGGGAAATGGAGGGTGTCCAGCACCTCCCCTTGGCACTGGGAACGAGGGTGGGTGGCAGCAGCATCCTCGGTTTCTTATGGCCCTTGATTGCATCCCAGGGATCAATAGAAAATATTTTATTGTGCCTTTTGTCTCTATTTGAAATCAAGCAGGGGAGTGATTAAATACAAGGCCATCTCTGGAGCTGACAGCTTTATTTCTGCAGCTCAGGAGGAAAAGCCATTCTGTGCTGGCTATAAATATTAGACAGGACACACCGGGATTTATGTAAGATAAATTCCCACCCTCCCCCTTTCTCCAGTCAGGATGGAGTGATGCCTGTACATTAATATCAGACTAAAATGAGGACAATTTTTCACTAGATGGCTTTAGATAAATGTAAAAATTCCTATGGCATCTGTGTCCACTCAGCAGGAGCTTCAGCTGGGGAAGCTGTGAGGAAGGTGCTGGTGCAGACAGTGAGCTCTGGAGCCTGGAGCAGCAGGATCCTCCAGGGCTGGGCCAAACCTGGAGCCTGGAACTCCTCCAGGCCTCGGGGCTGGCATCTGCCTTCCCTAAACTTAGTTTTCAACTTTAAACTATTGATTTTACCCATCCATTTTATCTGCATCTAAACAGAAAGTCCATAAATTCCACACAGCAGGGCAGGAAATACCATGGATAGACGCAACTTTTCAGATTTTCCATCCACATTTTCTTACCTCATTGCGTGATGGTGAGAAATTCTCGCTTGCCAATATGCATATTAAAATACATTTGTGCTTCCTATTCCAATAACTGGCAGCCTCTCATCAGGATTATTTTTCCAGTCTTTCTGAGGGGGTTGCTGGTTTGATTTTTTTATTTTTATTTCTTTTCTGAGGCAGCACATTTCTTTGTAGCCAAAGGCAGGCAGAGCTGGCAGACGCTGCTGGTGGGCTGCACTGAGGTTTCCTGGAGCTAACGGGGAGCGACAGC